GAGCACAGCATTTTCACATACTGTGGATTTGTATCGGCCTAATCAAAATTGACTACTCACTATTTTTATTTTAAAAATGAGTTTTCTTAATTATAACCATGATTAAACCCACTACGTCTGATAGAAATGCTATAGTATCAGTTGCTAATCTTTCTAATCCACTTATATAATAAGAAATATAAATATTTCAATTTATGTATAAATAATATATTTTAATAAAAACACTCATACATGGTATTTCCTTTATACCTAAGATCCCTGCGTTTCCTGAGTTCCTGATTAAATTCTCGATATTCCTGAAGCTCCATTTTTGAGACACAAAAGTTTATCGCTTTAATCTTTTTTACGTATGTTTTTTAGTTAACAACCTTCACCTCGGCAAATACTTATAACAGATGTCATTTTCTAACATTTTTTTTGTTTCTTGGATCAAGAAAACGGCTTGAGGATTTATGTATTTATGAACGCTGGAGAAATCTACAAGATTATATACATATTGACTTTTTTAATTTTTAGTAAAAATGCTAGTAAAGCATATCAATCCACTTACATCATATCAAAGAAATAATAACAAATAATAAGACCTAATATCAATGGTACGTTGTATTTTAAGATCAAAGATTCAATATATACCCTAATTTTAAAATGTATGAACATATTCCACTGGTAAACCTCATTAAATTTTTAGTCATATAATAATTACATTCTTCAATCGTTTTTAAATATTTCTCTATCTCACAACATTACTAGTAGTAAAGTATATTTTAGATGATATTAATTAATTTATAAGGAGAAGGCAAAGTAAGACCTAGTGATTCACATTCATAATCATTATCAACACTACGGCCATATCATTATCAACAAGACCGTATCTTGGCTTTCTTCATTTAGTTTCTCCATCCATCGCGATTGTGAATTATTAAAAATAAAAAACAAATAATAATAAAAATAATTACAAAAAAAATTAACAAAAAAAAAACATAAAAACAATCAAAAAGTTTTGGTCTCTCAGAGTCAAATAATGTAACCAAAAAGATCTCTTGGCAATAAGACTATAGAAATCCGGTTTTAAGTCTACAAAGCAGTTTGGAATAAACTTAGTATTTTGGTGTTTAAGGTTTATTACTATTACTGACATATTGAATTGGTATGAGTAACTATAGACTTTATTTAAAAATAAAAATTACTTTATGGTTTTCTATTACAGATTCAAGGACATCAATTAAGCAAATTATAACCTGTATAGAAAATAGACTTGGTTCTGATCTATCAAAAAAAATGCTTTGTAAGTGACCCACTTTACTTAAAAGTGGATTTCAAAACCAATACTATTTACGACTGTTTAACTGACTGTTTAATTTCAAAATGTTCTAAAAGACCTAAGAGAGGTGTTAGCTGTAGTTTTGTTGGGATGGAAAAGGTATTTAGTTGGCATATTACTTTTTATATAGTAAAATAATCTTAGATTAGTATTGAAACAGCTGGATTATATAGATTGAAAAGTTCGTAAAAAGAGATGCGGTTTAAAGGAAAGAAGATCTATTAAGACAATGCATCTGCTCACACATCTCACAAATTCATTGCTACAATCAATAAAAAAAATTACATATTGGTGCAACAACCAGACGAATTTATTAGATTTAGCTCCTTCTGACTACCGACGCTTCTCAGAGGTCCTAAAAATCTTTTCTTTAAAATAGCAACAGTAGAGCATTGGAGAACTGTTGGAATAAGTATATTGAAGTGCATTGAATAGAGCAGCAAATACGGAAATTGTTATTTTTAAAATTAAAAATTCAATATTTCATTTGGCGAATTTATTGAACTATCTTGTATAGAGATTCGTATAATACGAGTCCAATACGCTGAACAATAGACCGTTTACATTGGCTAGACGAATTTCAATACTGTATGCGAATAAAATTTCTTGTGTTAGTGGAAAAGTGACAGCGTGAGCGGTACAAACCAGTCGATAAAATGTTATATTAGTTTTTATATAATAAATTCTGGAATCGAATTTAAAGTGCAATCGATTAAATTGGAAAGGATGATTAATTCTTAATACTAATTATTTATATGGGGTTTATATAAGTCAGTTACAGTACTACATTCAGACACACCATAATATCGCAAAAATCTTGATTTCATCTTCGTTTCAGCGAAATTAAGTTGTTTTTTCCATACAAAATTTAGTTTTGAGGTTAGATTTGTGAACAAAAAACATATGATTAATTTAGAGCAGTATGAACACTTTCGAAATTAACTTAATTTAATTTTTACGAAATTAAGGAAATTTAGCTGTCTAAATATAGTATAAGTAAGTTGTAAGTTAATAATAAAAAACTGTGAATCCCTTTAATTTTTTTGAATAAAGCCAAATCATAATTTAATTTTAATGAAATATAATTTTAAGTCAAGTTATAACAATTGTCAGTAAGAAACAAACATATAGGTAGATAGATAAAAGTTAGATAGAATTAAGAACAGAGCTAAACATTGTTTATATCAAATTTTCTTAAATTTGATCCGAAATACCGAAAACAAAATAGGTTATATGATGCATGCTTTCAAAAATAATTGCGACTGGCAGTAGCGCTCCTCAATTACAACTAACTAAATTCCCGCAATTTTAGTGAATTGTCAGAAGAGTTGAATATGTTTTGATTACATGTGACGTAAATTGAATTGTGTACTTCAATAAATGAACACAAAACGCCAAACAGAAAGCAACAAAAAGGCAAAAATTAAATAAATAATATTAATTATAATTTATTTTTATTAATATTACTTATGTAAATAAACACAGACGACACAATGAAAAATAATAAATAGTAACATAATTTAAAGTTCAAATATTAATATTCCACAATAATTTTATGTTTACAAAATTATTTTATACTACTTTCATACTTATTAAAGTGCTTCGTTTTTGCTTTTAACTGCTTTATTATAGCATTTTATTTTTTACAACATCACAAGCATTTGCAGTTATTACATTTATGAATTATGTATTATGTATTTATATAACGAGTAGATAACAATTGCAATAAAAGTGATTAAATGATATAAATGAATGATAATGAAGAAATTTATAAATTTGGTAAATAGTAGGAATTATTGTGTTTGACTATAAATCTAAGATGGCATATTATAGAATGATATGACAGTATGTTTTATATTAAATTAAAGTCTTAAGAATCTATTATGGGATTTCAGTCATTCAATACCAACAAGTGACTCAAATGACAAATGATGGCCTCACTACAAAAAACCCAGTTAACTTTTGAAAGCACGTCATACTTCGAATATCGAGCCTATCCTCTTTCGTTTTCATAATTGCGAAATATAACTTATGTATATATAACTGATATGAAAAGAAAACTCATATTGGATAGGTACTCAAAGTGGTTGTACTGAAAAGTAGATAATTAGAGATTATAGACTTACTAGAGATTTATGCTTAGACTGTCCACGGATTTCATTATTTTAATATAAAAATAAAAAGATTATAGATATCAGAATATGATGATATGGCTTCATAGCTCGATTAACAAATAAGTAAAACTTATTGAAGAGAACACAAATATGACAAAATATTTTTAAAAAGAATTTTAAGGACATTTTAAATATAGGGGTTTATAATTTATTTGAAAAGTGGTAAAGGATCAGGATATCAAAATTTATAAAAAAAATTGTGAATCAATTTTCACACATATACTAAAGTTTTCATACAAATGTAACCCAAAAACCTAAGATGTTGAGCGTAGATATTGTTATGACTTTGAAAAAAATCTTAGCACTCAAGACAATTTGAAACCTATTCAGCTTAACTTAGCACACTTACGTATATTAAAAAAATTGATAATATTTCCATGGTTATCAGGGGTGGTCAAGACTTCACCCCGGAGTCACCGGGATGCTCAAATAACGTTCACTGTTTTCAACAGACATAGGAATAATAAGTTTAGAAATTGTAAACTTCAGATCATGAATCACTAAAATTTTATTGTTTGTTTTTATAAAGTAACGGATTTCATTATTGTTAGCGGGTTTGTTGGTATATTAGGTCTAATTATTTTTTTGGTTTTCGTTAGAAAATCAAAAGATTCTTATCACTTCACAATATATAAAAAGGAATTATTCCAATAATATTCTTTTTTATATAATTAATAAGTAGCAGATATTTATTTTATTGTATTTATTTCGTTTTAAGATACAAAAAAAATTAATTTTTTTAAATTATATTTAATTTATTTAATATAATGTATTGAACCCAAGATTTCGCAATATATTCCTAGTAGAGTATAACATTAACTTCTAGAAAGGTGGTGAAATAAAACACTAAACATCGGGTTCAATACGTTTTATTAAAAAAAAACAATAAAATCAATAGAAATAATTTGTTCTTTTTTAATTAATACTTCTTCAAATTTACCGAGAATCTGAGAGGTGCATTAAAACGTTTATAATTTTATCACTTTATAGTTTACCGAGTTATTGAGCAACATCTGTACTTTTCCTAACATTTTTCAAACTTTGGAACATATAAAAAGATATTACTATACATTATTTTTAAAAATGTTTTTGAAACTTTCAAATATAATATTTAAAAAGGTTTTACTGTACTATACATTCTTTGAAAAAGATTTTCCTATATTTTTATAATAATACTATCATTTTTGACAGTACATATGGTTATACATGGATCTTGGTTTTTGGTTTGTCTTAGTCTTCCTTAATTGAGATTGGTTTATTAATATGCCTTAAGTAATGTAGATAATTAGATCCAGGAAAGTGGGTACCAAGTGGAGGTGATTGAAAAGCAGTGCTACGTCAGGTTGAACCCCGATGTTTAGGTTTACTTGATTGTTACGATCAATTAAGTAAGTAAGTTATTGTTTAAAGCAATCATAGTATATTAAAAAAAAATATTTAAATAAAGAACAAAACAACACGTCGGTCCATGGTTCCAATTTGAGCAGATTTTCATTCGTAATTAGTCAAAGATTGTATTTAGACTATCTAAACTTCAAATATATTCTAAATCCACTTATGTTGAATATTTCGAAATATTCAAGAAAGATAAATGTTCAGCCAAAACAAAGTTCCATTAATTAAAATTAAATAAAAATAAGTTCTTATTATTCTTAATTTAATCACATTTATTTAATCTAAATCTTTGTTTACTTCTCTCGGCCCTATGCTCATCCTAGGAGTTAAAGGAATTTATATGGTATATATTTATTTGTTTACTTCTACACACATCCTTACAATTTCCGTTTACTACTATTTTTTTCCGCAAAAACAA